AATCTGTCACACAAGAGCTAACTAATTTGCCACTGCATCTCTTACTCTATGATAGTAAGCTAAACTAGGGATCCTCTGAGTAGTCATGGAAATCATAGGGATTAGAATGACCGTCACTACTATGATTAAAACCCATGTCATTAACTTAACCCAGATGAGTTTATTTTTCACTCACATAATAATCCATTGCTGGTGTTCCCCGGTGACTGGTGGCTTTCGTCCAAATAGCGGTTGAGGGACTCAGAGTTCTTCCACGTTGCAGTTTTGCCATTCTATCCTATCCTATCCAGATTCTTCTTCTAGTTGGATAGCATAGCCGCATAATAGCAAAGCCCCAACTGACATACTCTTGCCCAAACCACACTGGAGATTAGTCTAATAGCCCTAACTGGAAGCAATAGTGGGTGAGTCACGTGGGATATACCTGGACATTCACATTCCAGAATCAATTCTAGACAACAGAAAAGCAGGTGGTCATCTAGTCCTAGCACAGGCATCAGCAACAAATGCCCAGGACCTCGGAAAAGAATCATATTAGGGGGTTTTAGTGGCTACACCTGTATAAACTACACTACCTAATAATTCCTCGAGAAGCCCTCACTTGCATAATGCAGGCCTTTTAGGAATCCCAGTGGAAATGTTCAGCATGGTTTTTATTACAGTCATTCAAGAGCATTCACCCCTTTTCTATTGACACTAGTCAATGTGGGACATGAGAGCCGTGCTGAGAAGTGTTTTTAATGAAAACAAAACCCTAATGCGATTTCAACCCTGGGCATCAATTACTAAATATGGTGTGAAGATCAAGTATCAGAACATCCTTGAAGTTCTGTGGTTTATCACAACCATTTCACTTTCTTCCCATGGCTAACCATTACCCTGTAATTCAGCTACGACACATGACGTAGTTCAGTACCCCCTTCCAAATGCAATCTGTCATGAGAAGTCCCGATACATAAAGGAGGAGACTTGAGGAAAATTTTAAGACACTAGGGCTTCATGTCAAAAGAACATGGAAAGGCTACTGGCCCCTGACAAGGGAACTTGTAAAAGGTGAGTCAGGAACTTAGACATAAATAATCCAAGCTAGTATTTTATTTTTTATTTATTAAAAAATTTTTTTAATGTTTTGTTTATTTCTGAGAGAGAGAGAGAAACAGTGTGAGCAGGGAAGGGTCAGAGAGAGAGGGAGATACAGAATCTGAAGCAGGCTCCAGGCTCCGAGCTAGCCGTCACCACAGAGCCCGACATGGGGCTCGAACCCACGATCCGTGTGATCATGACCTGAGCCGAAGTCAGATGCTTAACTGACTGAGCCACGCAGGCGCCCCCAAGCCAGTATTTTAAACCCTTGAATTCTTTCAAGTCCCTAAGTATTATGCAAGCAATTTCTCACTTTCAAAACACATTTCCAAAATGTTTCCTGGAGTTTTGATGGTATCATTAGTGAAGAGTATTAAATATTTCAGGGTGAGATTAATTCCCTCCCTCTATTTCAAACTATAGGTCATATTAAATTCAGATTTTGTTTACCAACCAAGCAATAATGGTGGGCCTAGAAGAGCAGACTCAATCTCTGAAGAGTCGTTTGTCACAAGGAAGGGATGGCAAGGACAATTAGTAGGGAGGTTTCTTAAGGCTTGAGAGAATTCTAAGTTTTCGAAGATGTTTGAATCCTTCACAACGGCTCCATTTTAATAACGTAGATTCAGATCTTTCCTAAGACTTCAGTTTCATTTAAAAGAAGTGACAAGTTGGGATTCAGTAAAAAAATGCATAGCTCAGCAACTAACTGGATCTGCTGTTGCATTTTGCTTTCATGGCCAGAGAATAAGATGATTCTCAACATAATCATAAAAAGGCCTTGATTTTAATTTTTGCTTAAGGTCACAATTTCAAGTGGCCTTTTAATTATCTAACTTCATTATAAACAAGCAACATGCGTGCCTTTCGAACTCGAATCCCTCATCGGCTTCAGTTGTGCTAACAGCTACCTAGTCCATAATGTGGCAGTTTATAATCCTGCTGTTATCAAGAATAGCCTTCCTGGGGTGCCTGGGTGGCTCAGTTGGTTACGCTTCTGACTCCTGATTTCCGCTCAGGTCATGATCTAACTGTTCATGAGATCAAGCCCCTGCCCTGACAGAGTGGAGCCTGCTTGGGATTCTCTTGCTCTCCCTCCCTCTCTGCCCCTCCCCTGCTCTCTCTCTCTCAAAAATAATCATAAAAAAAATGACAGCCTTTCCTAGGAATGTGTGCAGCCCTGTCTTTATAGCAGCATTATTTACCATAGTCAAATTGTGGAAGCAGCCTGTGTCCATTGATAGATGAATGGATAAAGAAGATGTGGTATATGTATGCGATGGAATATTACTCAGCCATCAAAAGGAATGAAATCTTGCCATGTGCAACCACATGGATGGAACTAGACGGTTTATGCTAAGTGAAATCAGCCAGTCAGAGAAAGACAAATACTATGATTTCATTCATATGAGGACTTTAAGAAAGAAAACAAACGAGCAAAAGGAAAAGACAAACTAAGAAACAGTCTTAAACCAATGGTTACCACCAGCTTAGGTGAAGTTAGGGTTTAGGAACACACTCATCGTGATGAGTACTGAGCAACGTATAGAATTGTTGACTCTATTATACACCTGAAACTAATATAACACCATGTTATCTACACTGGAATTACAATAAAATAGAAAAAAATGCCATTCCTAATACAAAATAAAAGTTTCTCTATCTTTTGCTCTGTCTCAGTTATCAGTCCTTAATACTCTGCTTCCCTATCATCTGACAATCATTTTTGTTTTGAACAAATAATGTTCATTTATTTTTGAGAGAGAGTGATAATCATATTTGTTTTGAACAAATAATGTTCCTTTATTTTTGAGAGAGAGTGAGCACACAAGGGAGGGTCAGAGAGAGGGGGGACAGAGGATCCGAAGTAGGCTCCATGCTGACAGCAGAGAGCTGGATAAGGGGCTCAAACTCCCAAACAGTGAGATCATGACCTGAGCCAAAGTCAGACACTTAACTGACTGAGCCACTCAGGCGCTCCTGATAATCATTTTCTAGTATCCGTTGCCACATGGGCTAGCTTTCTTTGGCAACAACAACAAAAAAAGCAGACTTTAACTTCAAATTAGAATTAAAAAAATTTTTTTTGATGTTTTGTTTATTTTTGAGAGAGAGAGAGAGACAGCATGAGCAGGGGAGGGTCAGAAAGAGAGGGAGACACAGACTCCGAAGCAGGCTCCAGGCTCTGAGCTGTCAGCACAGTGCCCGACGCGGGGCTTGAACCCACGAACCATGAGATCATGACTTGAGCCGAAGTTGGACACTTAACCAACTGAGCCACCCAGGCGCCCCAAGAATATTTTTTTAAGCAGGCTTCATGCCTAGTGTATAGCCCAAAGCGAGGCCTGAACTCATGACCGTGAGATCGAGACCTGAGCCGAGATCAAGAGCCAACCGAGCCACCCAGGCGCCCCAGAAGTTAAATATTGTTATAATACCAAGTACCTCACAGATTTAAAGACCTGAATGAGGATGCGAGGAAGCAGGAATGGTTTTAGTAGATCGGAGTGGCATGTAGAGGTGCAGAGATCTTCAGGCTCCCGCCAAAGGACGCCAGATGATGTCACGTCCGTACAAGGGCCCCAACTGATCACAACGGACGCTGACCACGTAAGGCTGAACACTGGCCCTGCTGCTGTCCCTGTGTCTCCAACCAAAATACAAAGAATGAGAAATGGGACTGGCTTGACTGGAGCCATGTGACTCGCAGTTCACTAGAGCACTGCAGATGAAGAAAGGGAACGTGCCAACAAAGAGCTAGAAGCGTGTGTGTTACAGACAAAAGCAGATTTGGGCACCTGGGTGGCTCAGCCAGTTAAGCCTCTGCCTTTGGTTCAGGTCATGATGTCAGTTTGTGAGTTCAAGCCTCACATCGGGCTCTGTGCTGACAGCTCAGAGCCTGGAGCTGCTTCAGATTCTGTGTCTCCCTCTCTCTCTGACCCTCCCTTGCTCATGCTCTGCCTCTCTCTCTCTCTCTCAAAAATGAGTAAACTTTAAAGAGAATACTTTATTTAAAAAAGACAAAAAGATTTCAACATCTGTATTGAAAAAATATGTATATATATACACACGCACATGTACATATGTCCAATATTAATTTTGACTCTATGGCTACAAGATGAGTTTACACATTAGGTTTTGCAAGTCACATGTTTAATATACTGTGGACAGACAACTCTCCACAGAGGCATACATAAAATTCAACTTTTTCTACGAACCGGACAATACAGTATTGAATAATCACAATCTAATGAACCTGCTTGGCAGGACGCTTAAGTCCAACTTATCATAATTACAATTCTGCAATAAACATTATATCTATTTGTTCCAACAGGACAAAATTCCTAGCTATAGAGTTACTGTTGGAAAAGGAACGCACATTGATAATGTTGGCAGTCGTGCTACATTGTCATCCCGAGACGGGACAGATCCACTGCTGGTGACGTGTATCTGCTGGCCCACACTGATGCCAGGACTGGATACTATCCAGATGTTAGACTGAAATCCATCTGAAAGCCAGGAAGGTTTAACGTGTCACTTTCTGACGAGCGAGGCTAAGAATTTTACAGATTGTCTTGACTCATTTGAACCCAACCGCCATGCCTGTTGGGAACGCACTGCCATTTTTTCCCACAGCTTTGTACGTGTAATAGCACTTTGTTCCTGACTTATTCGTCACATAACTTGTATTAGTCTGTCCATCGTCTTTCACATCTTGTTGGCGCCTTTCACCTTGCTCAAGCTTTTGGTCTTTGTACAGGCCACCTTACTCTCTTTCCCTGGCTTCTAGGACCTTACTTAGGAAAGACTTCCTCCTTTTTACGTTCGCTTCTTACTATCATTTCCTAATTAGAAATGTTAAGAACAATTGCATGGTATTTCTCTGTAAGATGTAAGTGCGTTTTTTTTTGTTGTTGTTGAAGGGAATGGATAACCAATTGTCAAACATAATTTTCCCTGTAATGAAAACCCAGTCTTATTTTATACCAAAATCTGAAATGCGAAGAAACCTATTTTTAAAATGTCCTGCTATGCTTGCCGCATTAGCTTTCCTTGTGTTGTTTCAAGTAGAATGGTCAAAGTAACCACATCCTGTGAGGACCCTGTTGTGAATGACAATTTACAAACACTTTAACAGTATTATTTCAGCTAGAAAAGTTGATTTCTCCTCTGCTGACATGTTTTCATATTTCAATAATTCCCTTTTACCTCTATTCATAAGTTGCCTTATAATTTGTCTTGTTTTTGAAGTGAGAGTTGTATTACACCCTTAGAAATAATTAGAACTTTTTGTATATTCTTTTCTGTGCTAAAGCAGGGGTTGGTAGACTTTTTCTGTAGAAGGATAGAGTAAATATTTGAGGCTTTGCCTCAATACTGACTCAACTCTGCCTCTGTGGAGTGAAAGCAGCCACGGGAAATGCGTGAACAAATGAGTGTGACTGTATGACAATAAAACTTTATTTACAGACACTGACATTTAGATTTAATGTACATTTTCATATTGTCAACAAAATATTCCATTCACTTGTTCAGCCGTTGAAAATTTTAGACCATGGGCCATACAAGACCAGTCAGTGAGACTTGGGCCGTGAGTCACAGCTTTCTGACACCTGCTTTAGATCAGGTTAGCTTATCAGTTGATAACTCCTTAAAAGTTCCTTAAAAGTTTAATAGAATTCATAGGGGCGCCTGGAGGGGCTCGGTCAGTCAAGTCTGACTTCAGCTCAGTCATAATCTTGCAGCTCAATAGTTCAGGCCCCATGACATGCTGAGCTGTCAGCACAGAGCCTGGAGCCTGTTTCAGATTCTGTGTCTCCCTCTCTCTCTGCCCCTCCCCCACCCACATTCTGTCTCTCTCTCTCTCTCAAGAATGAATAAACATTAAATAACAAAGGTTTGATAGAGTTCATTTGTAAGCCCAGGTGATTTTAAACAGATCAAATCTTTCCAAATTTTCTAAGGCAGAGTACCATGTCAACAGTTTTACCTTTGTGTGTATAAATCTTGCAGTTTTTTTCTGATTGTTTCAGCTCTTCTGTTCCAAGGGGACCACTCATCCGTGTTCTCTACACACTTTCTAAGTCTATTCTCAGATGAATAGCAAAGCTGAATTTTTCTCACCTAAAGTCACATTACCTTACATTTATGCAGAAGACATGGAAGGCCAGAATTCTAACTCAACGTTATGTACTCAAGTTTTAGTCTATGTGCTGCCAAAGCGAGCGCTATGGAATCAAGTTTCCCACCACCTCTGGGGAGACCTCACTGGCTACCCTGACCCACACCGGTCTCTCCCGGGTTCCTCCCAGGCACTTTTTTTTTTTTTCCAGGCACCATTTTTATTCAGAGAGGACTGTGATGACTCTTCCATGTCCCCAAATGTTTTTTTTTCAACACCTGGTATGAACCAGGCACTGTGCCAAACACATCTTATGTGTTAACCAATTTAAAGGATCCCAATGCAAGTTTTTAAACGAGAAGTGAGAGATGTGTATTTATACTTAAAAAAAAATATATCAACCTGACTGCAACACAAGAGAACAAACTCATAAAGGACAACAAACTGAACTGACAGACAGAGGGGCCCATTTTTGAACTATGGGAACTGTCTGGCTGACACAATACTGAGACTAGGGCGATGGGAGTGAGGACGGACCCCAGAGGAATCTGGGGAGCAGATCCACGGGACTCGACGTGGAAGGCAAAGAGGGCCGTGCTGCTGCCTCTCCACTGTGAGTTCTCGGGTGAGCAAGGTGTGCGCTCTGCCTGAAGACTTTCCTGCTCTTCTTATAGTTATAGGCCCTCTCTCCAGTGTGGACTCTCTTATGCTGATTAAGGTGTCCGATTTGGATGAAGGTTTTCCTACATTCTTTGCACTCATAGGGTTTCTTTCCAGAGTGAATTCTCTGATGGACACTGAGGGACTGGCGATGGCTGAAGGCTTTGCCACATGCACCACATTCGTACGGTTTCTCTCCGGTGTGGCTTCTGCGATGACAAATGAGGGATGACTTGGTCTTGAAGGCCTTCCCACATTCAATACATTCATAAGGTCTTTGGCCAGTGTGAAGCCTCTGATGTTGAGTACAGGATGAGTTGTCACCAAAGGCCTTCCCGCACTCGATACATTTATAGGGTTTCTCTCCAGTATGAACTCTCTGGTGCTGAACGAGATGTGTGGTCTGGCTGAAGGCTTTACCACATTCCTTACACTCATATGGTTTCTCTCCCGTATGAGTTTTCTGATGCTGCGCGAGGTGAGCCTTCTGGGTGAACGCCTTACTACAAACTTTACATTCATAGGGCTTCTCGCCAGTATGAATTCTCTGATGAGTAGCCAGCTGTGAACTGATGCTGAAGGATTTCCCACATTCCCCACACTCAAAGGGCTTCTCTCCAGTATGGATCCTCAAATGACTAGCAAGGTGTATATTCTGCCTAAAAGCTTTCCCACATTCCTTACATTTAAAAGGCTTTTCTCCAGAATGCACTCTTTGATGTTGAGTGAGGGATGCATGATGGCTGAAGGCTTTCCTGCAGACATCACATTCATATGGTTTTTCTCCAGTGTGAATCCTTTGGTGCACAGTGAGGGAGGAGCCGTACCTAAAGGATTTGTCACACACATCGCATTTGTAGGGTTTCTCTCCAGTATGAATTCTCCTATGTTGGTTAAGGCCTATGTGGTCACTGAAGGCCTTCCCACAGTCGATGCAGTCAAAGGGCTTCTCCCCGGTGTGGTAATACCTCCAGTGACGAATGAGGGAGGTGTTCTGTATGAAGGCCTTCCCACACTCAGTACATTCGTAAGGCTTCTTGCCAGTGTGGCACCTCTGATGCCGGGCAAAGGAGGAGCCGTCACTGAAGGCCTTGCCACATTCATCACATTTGTAGGGTTTCTCTCCAGTGTGGATTCTCTGATGAACAGTAAGGGAAGAGCTCTGGGTAAAGGTTTTCTTACATTCATCACATCTGAAAAGTTTCTTTCCTGCATAAATTCCTGTATGTTTTATTGCCACTGAATTTGGGGGAAAAGTTTTCTTAACGGAGTCATGATTATGAACTCTCTCTTCTGAAATGTCCAAATGAAACCACCTTCCAGACCTGTTAAAAGTACGCTCTCTTTCCTTCGGGAGGGCTTTGTTATGAGAGATTGTCTCTTGCCTGAATTGTGTCTCCAGACCTATCAGCTTCCTTTCAAACACACCCTCAGAATCCCAATTTTCTCTGAAAGCGGAACACTCCAAATTAGAGTTTGAAGTTCTGTCTGTTACTTCAGCAAATGAATCCTGCTTTGGAAAGAATTCCTGGATCTCATGTATAGATTGTTGGCCTGAAAGATATCAAGAAACAAACATTTCCTTTATTGTGTGCTAGGGGAAAAAAAAGGAATTTGTTAAAAAGGAAATTGTGAATGAACACGCTAGTTGGTGAATTAAACCCTAATTAAACCACATACACTAGGTGGCTCTAGTGTGTAAACATGGGGTCTACAAAGCACGTCAGTATGCCCCGGGATTTATACAGGAGCCTCGGAGGGGCAAGTAGAAAGGAATTAAGTATTTGTGGAACCAGTTACATATAAAGAGAAAGGAACTGGGAAAACGTTCTGCAATCGCACCACCTAAAAATTCTCTGATGTTCACTGCCTTTACTCTCTCTCCGGCCTGTCTGTCCGGCTTCAACGTCAGAGTGGTCCTCACACATCAGAAACACTATTCCAAGAAGCAACCCAAAGCGTGAAGAAGAGACTGTATTCTTCAACATTTACCAGAATTATCTGAAAGCGGGTCATTCCCCACAATCAGAAAATGGTATTTCTGTTAACTGCATCTTTTTGATTAATTTCAACAGCCTACATTACCAAGGGACAGCTGAGGTTAAGTGGACACAGAATATCATCTTCCACCCACCTGCAAGCCTTCACAGGCCTGACACTTCTCTGGCCATATATGAGTAGGACCTTGCAAGTTAATTTCTCCATTTGAAGCAACTGTTTTCACAGGAACGGTGAGTGCTGCCATGTACTTCATCACACCATACACGCTACCAAACGAGTGTATGTCTTACCTCAGACTCTAACACTTACAAGGAGGAGTGTATACGCCTGAAGTCCCTTTGCTAAATCACTTGGCATGCACCCAGAATTTGTGCATTATAGTTATATCTCAATAAATACATGTAGACAAAAGTGGTATTGGAAACATGATGCAGGGAGTCAAATGTTTGGAAAAAGATGATCTTAAAAAGGGGAAAATAAAGTATTTTTTAATGACACTGAGAGTTTTCCTTCTTAGATGGGTCACAAGACAAAAATGCCCGGTTCTACTCAACCGGGCACTGGAAGTTGTAGGCTGAGCCATCAGGAACAGAAAAGGCATCCTAGCGAGAAAGGAAGAAGTAAAACCATACGTGTAAATGGTGTGATCCCATATACACAAAACCCTAAAGACTCTACAAGAGAAGTATTAGCGCAAATAAATCAATTCATCAAAATTGTAAGACACAAGAGCGACATAGAAAAATCAATTGTATTTCTTTTTTTTCTTTTCTTTTTTTAAAAAAAAATTTTTTTTTAAAATATTTTATTTATTTCTAGGAGAGAGAGAGACAGCATGAGCAGAGGAGGGTCAGAGAGAGAGGGAGTGACAGACTCTGAAACAGGCTCCAGGCTCTGAGCTGGCAGTCAGCACAGAGCCCGACGCGGGGCTCGAACCCACGAACCGCGAGGTCATGACCTGAGCGAAAGTCGGACGCTTAACCAACTAAGCCACCTGGGCGCCCCAATCGATTGTATTTCTATACACTAGACATGAGCAATCTGAAATTATGAAGACAATTCCATGAATGACAGCATTAAAAGAATAAATTACTTAGGAATAAATTTACATTGGGAGGCACTATATGCTGGAAGCTACAAAACGCTGCTGAACGAGATTAAGACACAAATAAATGGAAAGACACCCTGTGTTCATGGATAGGAAGAGAGCAAGCAAGAAAGAAGTAACTCAAACAAGCCCAAATTTGTGACGTGGTACAAATGGGATGAAATATATATATTAATAAAAAGAAAAAAATGCCGGTAAAACAAAAGGTCAACATAAATGGAAACTTCTATGAAATGTTCTGTAAATGAAGATACCACCCAACTTAAACTACTGCATGGTGAGAAGAAAGAGCACATGCGAACTTACAGACTGCATGGAAGTGGGAACAAAATGTATCACATTTTCGAGACCAGATTTATAGTCATACTATATAAAGGCAAGGAATATGACCCAAAAGAAATGGGCATGATGAGTATAAAGACACCGTTAACAGAATATGAACCCTAAGTGGATTTAAACTGTGTACTTCTCAATATTACACGTACTCAGGGAATTGCAAATTAAATGAAACATCCCTTTTCACCCAGGAGATTAGCAAACACTAAAAAAATACAAAATACTACTGGCGAAGATGTCTAGAAACAGATATTCTCATAAATTGTTCACCAATGGTAAAGCACTCTATCCATGAAACTTTTTAATACAAAATGTATTACTTGGATCGTGCAAAGAGAGAAGTACAAACTGGACCATAGCTTATATATAGCTAAAAACAGGAAAAAACCTAAACGTTCAAATGTCCCCAACAGTAAATCAGTTAAGTAAGTTAATGGTACATCTACTTACTGTTATACCAGAGAGCCATTCAAATAATGAACTAGAACTACATGCATCAAGTTTCTGAGGGCAAACATGGAAGGAGAATTCATATAAGAAATAATATACTAGACTACATAAAAATGTTTAAATTTTTACGTAACACAAAAAGATCTAATTAAACAAAAACTCTTATTACCATATATGAAAAAGTCTGAAACAATACATCAGAGAATTAGCATGTTGACATAAAAAAAAAAAATCACAGGAACTGTTACGAAAATATTTAAGACAAGAATAGAAAAATGAATACAAATGAACATTTTTTACAGAAAGATAAAGAAACAAATGTAAAAAAAAGTATTCAATCTCTTTCACAATAAAACAAGTAACTTTAGGATAGAATCTTTCCCCAAATAATAAGCAAGTATCTTCATCAACATACCCAGTGCTATGAGAATGCAATTAGACCCACATCAGTCATCCAGGCATTGGTAGAGTTGCTGAAAGCACATGAAACTTTCAGAGCCCAACAGCTGTCCATGCCCAGAGATGCAGCAATTGCAGAAAGGTATGGCTTTCACTTACATAAAGATACTGTTGCAAGTATATATATATATATATATATATATATATAAAATTTCTTTTAACATTTATTTATCTATTTAGAGAGAGAAAGAGAGCGGTAGAGGGGCAGAGAGAAAGAGAGAGAGAATCCCAAGCAGGCTCAGAGCTGTCAGCACAGAGCCCCACATGAGGCTTGAACCCATGAACCATGAGATCAGACCTGAGCTGAAATCAAGAGTTGGAAGCTCAACTGGCCTCCACAAGTGTATTAATACCAGAAATGTGAAGTCACCTAATTGACTAATGGGATATATGACACGGGATGCATGTGAGAATCATCTGGGGGCGCCTGGGTGGCTCAGTCAGTTAAGCGTCCAACTTCGGTTCAGGTCATGATCTCAGAGTTCAGGAGTCCGAGCTCCACATCGGGCTCTGTGCTGACAGCGCAGAGCCTGGAGCTGCTTCAGATTCTGTGTCTCCCTCTCTCTTTGCCCCTCCCCTGCACATGCTCTGTCTCTCTCTGGCTCTCAATAAATGAATTAACATTAAAAAAATGTTTTTTAAATATTTGTGTGTGACTGGATGTACACACTGTAATTCTGACTACATGAACCATGTGTGTTATCATGACTTGAAGAAGTTGAAGTTGCTTTGTTAACATATTGCATTATGGGGCATGATTTAATATTGTTTCCAAACAGGTGATATAATTATATTTTCTACAAATCATTTCTTTCTTTTTTAAAAAATTTATTTTTTTTTTAAAATGTTTTATTTTAGAGAGAGGGCGCGTGCTCGCACAAGTGGCGGGGAGAGGCAGAGGGAAAGAGAGAGAATCTTAAGCAGGCTGGGTGGGGAGCCCAATGCAGGGCTTGATCCCACAACACTGGAATTGGTCACTAAACAACTGAGCCACCTAGGTGCACTTTTTCTTAAAGATTTTTATTTTTATAATGTATTTTTTAGTGTTTATTTTTTTAAAAGTTTATTTATTTTGAGAGAGGGAGAATGCAAGCGAGTGAGCAGGGGAGAGGCAAAGAGAGGAAAAGAATCCCAAGCCATCTGAGCCATCAGCACAGAGCCCAATGTAGGGCTCAAACTCACAGACGGTGAAATCATGACCTGAGCCGAGATCAAGAACCAGACACTTAACCAACTGAGTCACCCAGGCACCCCTAATGTTTATACGTGTGTGTGTGTGTGTGTGTGTGTGAGTGTGTGTGTGTGACAGAGCGCGCACACAAGCAGGGGAGGGGTGGGGGGGGGACAGAGGACTGGAAGTGGGCTCTGTGCTGTTAGCACAGAGCTTGACGTGGGGCTTGAACTCACGTATCTTCAGATTATGACTTGAGCCAAAGTTATCCTTAACCAAGCTACCAGGCACCCCAAAGATTTTATTTTGAAGTGATCTCTATACCCAATGTGGAGCTCAAATCCACAACCCCGAGATCAAGAGTGGCACACTCCATCGAAATGAGCCAGCCAGGCACCCCTACCTCCGAATCATTCTTTTTTTTTTTTTTTTCTAACGTTGATTTATTTATTTCTGAGGGAGAGCAGGGGAGGGGCAGAGAGAGGGAGACACAGAATCCGAAGCAGCTCCAGGCTCTGAGCTGTCAGCACAGAGCCTGACACGGGGCTGGAACCCAAGAACTGCGAGATCATGACCTGAGCCGAAGTCGGACGCTTAACTGACTGAACCACCCAGGCACCCCATGAGTCATTATTTTCTAAAGAAATTTCTTTTCTTTCCCTTCCATAGCAAAAGAGGAAGAGAGGGGTACATGGATGGCTTAGTTGGCTACGAGTCCAACTCTTCAGCTCAGGTCGTGATCTCACGGTTCCTGAGTTCCAGTCCCGCACTGGGCTTTGCACCGAAGGCGCAGGGCCTGCCTGAGATTCTCTCTCCTCCCTTTCTCTCTGGCCCTGCCCTACTTGCTCTGTCTCTCTTTCTCAAAATAAATAAATAAGCTTAAAAAATTTAAAGAAACAAAAGAGGAAGAGACCCTCCGCTTATACACTGGGCAATCCAACTTCTGCACACCCTCTCTGACTGAAACAAGGGAGCTAAATGGAATCAGTCCCCTCCTTTGCCTCTGCAACGCTCTACCAGAAATCCTGCAAACTCTACTTCGTCCTTCATCCATAAACGTGCCCCGTCCCTCCCATCTGCAGTTACCACGTACGTGTGACTTCCCTCTCTCTCCAACTCCCTTCCGACGCCAAGCAGGACGGCTCCCTCAAATAACTTAAGTCGCGGGTCTTACAGGAGCAGATGCACAACGAAGCGAGTGGGCCACGTGATCACAGAGGACAGCTCAGAAGTACGCTGGGGTCAGGACAGGGACATAGAGGGGACGGGGCACCTCTGAGTGGCCAAGGAGAGGGAGCTCATTGCAGGGAATGAACTATCACTCGAGAGGCGGCAGCAGAGGAGGAAAGCCCCAGACCCCCATTCCCTGCCCAGCCCTGGAGGCCTCGGTGAAGTCCCGCGCGTCTCCTGTACCTCGGTGACGACCCACCCGCAGCGGCGCTGCCGCCCAGGCCTGCCGCGCTCACCTGGCCGCGGGCCCTTGGGCAGCTCTCCGTCCACCATCCAGGGCTCCCCTTGCTCCAGCAGGGAGACCACGTCTGCCCGGGAAACACGGGGTCCTGCACGGGGGAAGACATGGGTTCTGTCACACCTGACATTCTTCTTACTTTTTTTTCCATTAAAAACTTTTTTATTTATTTTTGAGAGAGAGACAGAGCATGAGCAGGGGAGGGGCAGAGAGAGAGGGAGCCACAGAATCCAAAGCAGGCTCCAGGCTCTGAGCTCCAAGTACAAAGCCCGATGTGGGGTCCGAACTCACAAAGTGTGAGATCATGCCCTGAGCTTAAGTCAGACACTGAAGACACTTAACCGCCTGAGCCACCCAGACGTCTCTTTTCTATATTTTTATAAAGTGTATTTATTTATTTTGAGAGGAAGTGAGAGAGCACACACAAGAGGAGAGGGCGGAGAGAAGGAGAGACAGAATCCCAAGCAGACTTCAAGCTGTGAGCACGGAGCCTGACACGGGGCTCAATCCCATGAATGACAAGATCACGACCTGGGCCACAATCAAGAGTCAGATGCTTAAGTGACCGGGCGCCCAGGGCCCCTGATGCTCTTAAATTGTGAACCGATTCCTTGGTTTGAGAAAGGAGAGTTTTATTGCAGTTGGAAGTAAAAAGAGAAGTGAGCCGTACACGAGAGACACTGAGGATGACGCTTCAAGCACAATGAAATACCAACTTCCAAGTCTGCAAATGTCAAATTCTCAGCCTGAGAGTCGCGGCAAAAATTTAGCCTCGCCCTTCAGAAGACCCGTCCCCGACCTCCACAATTCAAACCCGAGGAAAGAAAGTGGCGGATCCTGAAGACAGGACCAGATTCAGGAGAGGGGCATCCTTACCTGCGGACCCCAGGTGACTACGAGTCCCCCACATCCCATTCTTACAGAAGCTCTTCCGAGCTGGGTGCAGCCGCTGGGAGAAGTCCACGGCCACGTTCGTGATGGTCACCAGGCCCTGAAATGGTACAAACACACTTCTGGATCAAACAGGCCCACGAGCCGGCAATGGCTCTGCGGAGGTGTGTGACAGAGGCTACCTGTGCCAAGAATTCTCACTCAGGTCCTGAGTGCTGCGGGTCGCATAATGCCTGGGCCTAGTCATACCGTACACGTTGGGGGGAAACAGGAGAACCTGGTTCTGCCGTGGGTGGTGTACACTTCTGCTGGGAACTCACGCGCAGTATGGCCTTCCTAAGGCTGCCTGAAGGCCCCCCCCCTCAGCATGCCCCCTCCACAGGCCTGCGGCTCTTTTCTCTCCTGCGTCATCTCTGATGACAAGGGGAGGGCTGAGATCCTGCTCAAGGTCTCCCCACGTCGGCATGCTGAATGCTTCTGAGTAAGACGCGCTTGTCTGTGGTTCCTTACGAGTGACCCGCCCCCTCCCTGCCACGCATTGGGACTGCGTGCTCTTCCTTCCGGCTGGACCTCCGTCCACAGGATCCTCCGTCCACAGGAAGCGCCCTACTCAAATGGGAACTTCTCCCAAAGTTACTGAACTCTGGTCCCTCCCTCAAGAAGGGTTTCTCTAGGAAGGCCGCCGTCTTGGCTCAGGCTGACGGGACTTACCGGCGGCCTGTCAAACAGAGCAGTGTAATCCCAGTCTTCCCGGAACATGGAGCGTTCCAGACTGCGGCTCGGGAGTCCCTCTGTGATCACCGCCTGGGGTAACTTTTCCTTAGGGACGTCCTTCTTCGCGGGGAACTCCGGGGTCTCCGGCCCAGCCTTTACATCTGAAAGGCATTAAGAAAGTGAACCTTTCTGGGGCGCCTGGGTGGCTTAGTCGGTTAAGCGTCCGACTTTCGCTTAGGTCACGATCTCGCGGTTCGTGGGTTCGAGCCCCGCGTCGGCCTCTGTGCTGACTGCCAGCTCGGAGCCTGGAGCCTGTTTCAGTCTGTGACTCCCTCTCTCTCTGACCCTCCCCTGCTCACGCTGTCTCTCTCTCTCCTAAAAATAAATAAAAACATAAAAAAAAAAAATTAAAAAAAAAAAAAAAAGAAAGTGAACCTTTCTTTATTATGAGTACGAAGAAAACTTCCAAAATGTAACCAGAGGAATTAAGATCATCAAAACAACATAATGTATTGAAAACACTTTTGTATGACTAACCAGCGTTACATTCTCATATATACCTGGTTTTAGGATGCAATTTCTCACCTAGATCTAAGATATAAGGTGGCTGATACAGGGCGCCTGGGTGGCTCAGTCGATTAAGAGCCCGACTTTGGCTCAGGTCATGATCTCACCGGTTGTGAGTTCGAGCCCCTCGTTGGGCTCTGTGCTGACAGCTCTGAGCCTGGAGCTGCTTCGGATTCTGTGTCTCCCTCTCTATCTCTGCCCCACCCCTGCTAAACAAAGAGGGAAGGGAGGCTAAGGGAAAAAACTGCTATATGATCCTTATTTCAGCAGTATTAAGTAAAACTCACTTTGACTCTTTCTCCATTTTTCCAGGAAAAATTTCTTATCTCTCTTTTTTAAACAATGCCTCCTTTATTACAATGTTAATGAGCAAAAGTTCCAATCCCGGGCTTGGAAGTTCAAGTCTTCATAATCAACCAGAATCTCAGCAAGACACGAAGGACTGACAGAGAGAAAAATCTGTTTTGTTTCGTAAAATCCAGGTGACGTGACTCAGTGTGCAGCGTGCTGACTGGAGAAGCTCCACAGAAACCCCTCTGGGCTCTCCCGTGACACAAGGCGACCACAAGAGTGGCCAGGACTTGTATCTGCGCAGCCTGTCCTGTTCTGTCAATACAGACCCTTCCCTTTAAGTATGATTGGAACAAAGGTGTTTCACAAGATTCTTAATTCTTTAGAGATCATCGCCCTTCCTGCTGCAGGGGCCTCCAAGAGAAGTCTAGAATTCTGATCTCTGGTCTCACATGATTCGTTGTTCCAGAAGTAACGCTGTAGTTGAAATACCTGTATTCCCACGTGATACAGGTGTGTGATACACCACAGTGAAAGATCCGTCCACTGAATGAGAAGCAGTGTTCCTCTCTCCCAGGAGCCACTCACCCAGCTGCACGCGCTGACGACAGCCGTGCCCAGACCCACCTCCTGGCCTGCCGGTCTCTCCCAGAACTCCAACGTTTCTGCCAAACACTCTACTCTCGTTCTTGTTTCCCTGGCTTCAAACTGGGAGTGATCTTCTTTCTCCCTCTTAAGTCCCTATTGACACTTAGCACACATGGGACGGCACCTTCTAGTTCACTTAAGGGATGGACAGACATGCCCTACTTCCCCCGTGACATGGTTAATTCTTCAGAAGCATAGTCACCCATCAAGCTCATCTGATGGCCTCACTCAAAACTGACAATAAAGTCAGTGAGAGAAGTCTATACACAAAGTAGTCATTTAATCAAAGAGAAATAAGATCACAAAAATGACATCAGAACCAGCCAAGGATTTTCTAAAGAATGACTGGATTACATAAGCCTGAAAGACAAAAGGTCTCAGGAGCCAGGAAAAAACGGGATCCAGGGCAGAGGCAAGAAGGCACGTGCAGGGGGAGGGGAGCAGAGGCTGAGAGGAGACAGGGGGGCCCGAGCTCTAGAGGCCTCAGTCGTCCCCCACCCCCCGGGCCCAGAGGCTCAGGAAGGACGCGGACCAGCCTGCGAGCCGAGGGCCTGCTCCCGCACCCACCTGGGCCCTGGCCTCGTGCCAACCTTCTCTTCACCACCCAGGGCTCCTTCCTCTGCTCCAACGAGGAGATCATATCGGGCTTGGACACGCAGAGGCCTAGAACGCAAGGAGAGATGGGGGGGGGGGTGTCACGTGGTGCGGCCGTGCATCCCCTAGGTGCGGGCCCTGGGCCTGGGGAGAGGGCGGCAGAGCAAGGCCCGGTGCTATGGGAGCAGAGGGCTCTGAGTCAGAGGTGGGGGTGGGGAGGCGGGGGGGGGGCACCCTCACCCAGCGAGACCAGGTTCCTGTAGTTCTCCAACATCACGCTCCTGTACAGGCTCCTCTGAGTGCAGCTCAGCCACTCCCACTCCTCCTGGGAGAAATCTACGGCCACGTCCCCGAACGTCACCAAGCTCTGGAAGGAAAGACCGCATTCTTGCTCAATCAGTGCTTTGCCCTGACAGCCTGGGGGCTGCTTTTGGGTTGAATCGTGTTCCCCAGTTCATACGTCCAAGTCTAACACCCGATACCTCAGAATGTGGCGGTATTTGGAGACAGGACCTTAAAGGAGGTGGTGAAAAGTTAAATGAAGTCACGTGGTCGGGCCGAATCCACTCTGACCAGTGTCCTTGTAAGAGGAGGAAGCCCCATGAATGACGGGGACGTGGCGGAGAGGGCGGCCGGCTGCAAGCCAGGGAGAAGCCTCAGGGAACACCGACCCTCCCAGCTCCGTGATCTAGGACTTCCAGAACCCACTGGGAAAATAAACGTCTGCTGTCCAAGCCCCCGGCTGCGGGATTCGGTTATAGCAGCCTGAGCAGACTAAGACAGGGGGCTGAGGGCGACCTTCCCCTCATGCAGGATAAGAGAGTATACGTGTAAGGGATAATACACAGAGGAAAAAAACACGGATGCAAATCTGGGCAGGTGCACACACAAGAAAAATATGTGATGTCAATTCAGATCAATGAATACGGAGGCTCAACTGTCCCCACACACAGTGGGTGTCACAGCACTTTTCCACGAGGACACGGAGTGGCCTGGATCCATACAAGAAGGGGGGAATAAATCTGAAGATGAGCCTCAAAAGGCACAGAGGACTAAATCCGAAACTAGGTTCTAAGGATTTCTATTTCCCTTTCAGGGTTCACTGGGTGTGGAGCAAAATCCTCTTTACATTTCCTGAAAGAAGAGTGTTTACTAAGAATGACAAATACTACAAAATGCCTTTAAGAATCAAGGTGGGGGCGCCTGGGTGGCTCAGTCAGCTAAGGCTAAAACTCTTAGTTTTGGCTCAGGTCATGATCTCATAGTTTCATGAGTTCAAGCCCCACGCCGGGCTCTGCGCTGACAGTGCAGAGCCTGCTTAGGATTCTCTCTCTCCCTCTCTTGCTCTATCTCTGTCTCTGTCAAAATAAATAATAAACTTAAAAAAAAAAAAAAGAAGAAGAATCAAGGTGCACCTCAGAGAAGCTGCGAAGGGACAAGGGTGAGGACACACCAAGGAGGTACCATGAACACATACATTCCAAGGTATCTTTTGTTTTGTTTTGTTTTAAATATTTTTATTTATTTCTAGGGGAGAGAGAGAGAGAGAGACAGCGTGAGCAGGGGAGGGTCAGAGAGAGAGGGAGTGACAGACTCTGAAACAGGCTCCAGGCTCTGAGCTGGCAGTCAGCACGGAGCCCGACGCGGGGCTCGAACCCACGAACCACGAGATCATGACCTAAGCGAAAGGCAGGCGCTTAATCGACTAAGCCACCCAGGAGCCCCTCCAAGGTATCTTTTGTTTTTGTTTTTAAATAGTTTATTGTCAAGTTGGTTACCAAAGAAACAGGTGAACAGATCAATGACACCAAGAGTTGGTTTTTTGAAAAAATAAACAAAATTGAGAAACCTCTAGCCAGGCTTCTCAAAAAGAAAAGAGAGGGCACTCAAATAGACAAAATCATGAATGAAAATGGACTTATTATAACCAACCCCTCAGAAATGCAAGCAATTATCAGGGAATACTATGAAAAATTATATGCCAACA